CTCCCCCACCGCGCGCCTCCCGCCCGGCTTCCTATAGCCCCTGGCAAAAATCCTCACGTGCCCGATGTTCTCGCCTCCCAGTGGCTTGCCCCACACTCTGCCCCCGCTCCTCCCCAGCCTATTTCTTCTCCCTCCCACTGCCGCCTTTAACGTTTCCTTCTCCAGCTCAGCCTCCAGGCACCCACATGTCCCTTATTCGATCCCCTCTTCCCGCCCCCTGCAGCCCCTCCTTAAATTCTGCGTCCCCTCTTACTTGGGGCTCAGACCTTTCTCAGAGCCCTTCCTGGCTACGGCCCTTCCAGCACCTTCTCACCACGCAAGTCCCCACTTCTGATCCTGTTCCCAGGAACCACCCTCACTATCTCCACATTCCCCTTCTTTCCTTGTGGTTTGACCTCACACTCGGCCCACTTCACTCCTCCCAGGCATTAGCACACCTTTCCTTCTCTATACACACCTCCGTCTGCATCTCTGACTCAACACCCAGGCTCCCCGTTAAGGCGCTTTGCACCCCTATTTTAGCCTACCCTTAATTTCTGCTCCCAGCCGCTCAGGTCTTGGACTCGCTCTCTTTAGCGCCCCCTACGGGCTGTAGCCTTAAGCCACGGCTCAGGCCCTGTCTTCCAAGGCCGCACCAGCTCAGCCCCGGGTTTGGTTGCCTCTTCGCTTCGCAGGGTATGTTCGTGCTGGGCCTGCCCTACGCCATCCTGCACGGCGGCTACCTGGGGCTGTTCCTCATCATCTTCGCCGCCGTGGTGTGCTGCTACACCGGCAAGATCCTCATCGCCTGCCTGTACGAGGAGAACGAGGACGGCGAGGTGGTGCGCGTGCGGGACTCGTACGTGGCCATCGCCAACGCGTGCTGCGCTCCACGCTTCCCCACGCTGGGCGGCCGCGTGGTGAACGTGGCGCAGATCATCGAGCTGGTGATGACTTGCATCCTGTACGTGGTGGTGAGCGGCAACCTCATGTACAACAGCTTCCCGGGGCTGCCCGTGTCGCAGAAGTCCTGGTCCATCATCGCCACGGCCATGCTGCTGCCCTGCGCCTTCCTTAAGAACCTCAAGGCCGTTTCCAAATTCAGCCTGCTGTGCACCTTGGCCCACTTCGTCATCAACATCCTGGTCATCGCCTACTGCCTGTCGCGGGCGCGCGACTGGGCCTGGGAGAAGGTCAAGTTCTACATCGACGTCAAGAAGTTTCCCATCTCCATCGGCATCATCGTGTTCAGCTACACGTCGCAGATCTTCCTGCCTTCGCTGGAGGGCAACATGCAGCAGCCCAGCGAGTTCCACTGCATGATGAACTGGACACACATCGCCGCCTGCGTGCTCAAAGGCCTCTTCGCGCTCGTCGCCTACCTCACCTGGGCCGACGAGACCAAGGAGGTCATCACGGACAACCTGCCCGGCTCCATCCGCGCGGTGGTCAACATCTTCCTGGTGGCCAAGGCGCTGCTGTCCTACCCGCTGCCCTTCTTCGCCGCCGTCGAGGTGCTGGAGAAGTCGCTCTTCCAGGAAGGCAGCCGCGCCTTCTTCCCCGCCTGCTACGGCGGCGACGGCCGCCTCAAATCGTGGGGGCTGACGCTGCGCTGCGCGCTGGTGGTCTTCACGCTGCTCATGGCCATCTACGTGCCGCACTTCGCGCTGCTCATGGGCCTCACGGGCAGCCTCACGGGCGCCGGCCTCTGCTTCCTGCTGCCCAGCCTTTTCCACCTGCGCCTGCTCTGGCGCAAGCTGTTGTGGCACCAAGTCTTCTTCGACGTCGCCATCTTCGTCATCGGCGGCATCTGCAGCGTGTCCGGCTTCGTGCACTCGCTCGAGGGCCTCATCGAGGCCTACGGAACCAACGCGGAGGACTAGGGGGCCAGGGCGAGCTCCCGCGC